AAACATCTTTCCATTTTTACATGATTCACATGCCAGCTCTTACCTGTTGGACTCGAGTCGGAGTGTTTCAGGGAGAGTAGAAAGAAGGACCTTAAATTAAGACATTAATTACCTGCTACAGTTACAAACTGTGGTGTTGGCGGCCCAGGGTCGACAGAGCTGAGGAGAAGCGAGATGCGAGAGCTTGCTTTGACAAAGTCTGTACTCGGAACCATTATGAAGACTAATATCCAAGTTATTCCCAAGAACTTCATTGAAGCACTAATGATCCGCAGAAGATTAGCTGCTTAGTAGATGAAGTTCTCTGATTTACAAGGTTTATATAGGCCTATGATCTGCAGTTCAAGTTGAGGCATGAGAGACCTAACCTATTATGATATGACTTGGAAGCTATGAATATTTCTTGAATACAAGTGTTTCCGAATATATGAACAGATCACTCCATAACTGTGTTGAGTACAAAGCTATATTTTGTTCTGCGTCTGCATCTATATTTCCTTTCCAGTGATAGAAAATGAATCATGACAATCGTGCGTGACTAGCAGACTTTTTTGTGTGTCACTATTATCTTAATAAAGCAAAAACCATTAGAGGACCTGTCGATCTTTCTCTTGTTAAAATGTTGTCATGCCACCTAATCGTTGGCATCATGTTTTTCACGGCTGTGGTTCTCTCCTTGCCGCGTTTACCCAATGTCCGACACCATTTGTACATGTTGAGAGAACATAGAAGCGTCTGCAGGAAAATTCATGATGCTAGGAAGTTTCCGTTCAGAAATTGGACATCTAGCACTTACCAGGTGTTCATCCAAGTAAAAAAGCAAGTATGAGCTCTATAATTAAAATTATAATTATCTGAGGTTTTTTAGGGTAATTCACTGTTATTTGTTTAAACCACTTGATAATAAATTTTATTTTTTTTATTAAGAGTGTGCATGCTATTTTGATTTATTTTTCTTTGTTTTTTTTCTCTAAATAAATTTATCATATTCGTTTACTTTATAATTTTGATATAATTTTTAAATACTATTATAAATTTGTATTTGAATTTTAATTTTGTTTTCTAATTATTATGTATATGACATGAAAAATAATAATGATAATGATAAATTATTCATGAAAATTCAATTCAAATGATGATAAATTGTTCATGAAAATTCAATTCAAATTTTTAAATATATTTTAAACATTGTTTTATCAAATTTATGATTTTCTTAGCTTTTAATGGCAAAAAAATAGATATAATCTTTTTTTATTTATTTTTTTATTAACTTTTTTTATTTATTTTTTTATTAACTTACTTTAATTATCATACAAAAAAATTAAATAG